TTTTTTGTCTTTTTTGTGACCGGTAAGGGGATCACAACCCTTGGCTTGGTGTCGCCCGCACCGCGCTCAGCCAGTGAGCGCACCGGTCATCCCTATATAGGATCCGAACCCGCGGCGGCAGCGCTGCTGCGCTCCCAGCACCACACTCTCCCGAGTGAGCCACGGGGTCAGCCCCGAATATTAAAACTAATTATTTAATCCGTGTAGCTCTATCATGATGGAAGCAATCTCAAGTATTCTGAATCTATGAAAATAGATGATTGTCTTCACTACAACTGTAAAAACACCTGTCCACATCAAATATTGAATTAAACTCAAATGTGTCCATAATCATTTATAGAAACTATCAAGTGAGCAAAGTGAGCACTTCCCATTTGTAAGATCAGCAGGGTCATCCCAGTGCCTCTCTTCCCTAAAGTACACAGATCTGTAATCATTGTGACTAGGAGAGGTCAGACAGAACCTTAACACAGGCAACCCCTGCTAAGTCAATTTCTTGTGGTTTTTACACAATACTAGGAGCCGAGTCATAATCTCAGGTTCAGTTCTAGAGTACTTTCAAAGGAGAATGCTTTATCATAATCGTCTACTCTGCACACAGGCAAACACAGCTTTATTAGTGCGATGATAGTACACACTCAAATCAACAAGCATTTTTTTGATGAGTTAATATATATCCAGTACTATGCTTGGTGTCTGAGATATAGAGATAAAAAACTCACAGCTCTTCCAAAGACCCCACCTCTGTGCCCACAGCACCTGCTCCATTCTGCTTTCATCATTCTCACTGACTCCGTTATACCCTCTGATCTGGCTGTGTGTCTGCCCACAAGACTTATACCCCAAGAGGAAAAATGGTGCTTCCATTACCTCAGATCTCAGCAAATCTTAACACAGAGGTGTCAATAAGTACGTGGAAACCAGTGTCTTCCTATCCAGTGGAGATGATAGGTATGCCAAAGAGTAAAATACACACTGTCAATACTCCGTATGTGGAATATTATGGGCATGTGTGCTGTGTGGGCAGGCCTGTGGTCCAGACCTCCCCTAGAAGGTGAGGCTGAAGGCTGCAGGTCTGTGAGGTCCTGTTGTCCCACCTTGACATGGCACATTTTAATGCTTAGTCTCAGTCTGCTAACTCTGAAGTCACTGGCCAATCCTACTCTGTCCTCTGAGGTCAGAGCTTTGGAGACCAGAGGGGGAAGAAAGCAAGGTCCAGACAATGTGATGCCTGACTCTGCAGAGCCTGGCCCTTCCCTTCACCCACCCCCAACCCAGATGAAGTTGGGTTCTCAGGCTGTGGTTTCCAGGGCTCCACATTCCTGTCTTGAATAGGGGACATCATAGAAGAGATCTGGAATTCTGTAGTTTCTGGAAGTCCTCCAGATGCCAGCCCTAATATTACCTGCAGGTCTTTGCATCACTGAGGTCAGTGTGTGTAAGTAAATGTGATCCTCCAATTACACTATTTAGATGAGGAAATAGAAACTAAGACATCTACGTAATGCTCTTTGGTTTATTTCTGAGCCAGAAAGTATTACAGAGGCAGAAAGTGAGAAATAAATAAACAAACAAACAAATAAACAAAAGGTAGGGCTTTTAGATGGAAATTGACTCTAAAAAATCACCTAGAAGTCTTAGAGAGACTTATAAATAAAGGGCCATAGATTGCATAGCTTTGAGGAGAAATTCACTTTGTAATCCAAATTAATTATGCCCCTGTAGTGGTGCAGAACTGCGCTTCAGGGAGAGATTAAAAAATAAAATGTTATTTGTGTCAATTTCTGCTTCTTAAACATGTCAGTTCCACTTGAAACCTCATGCTTTGAGAAGAGGATCAAGGCCACAGAGAGGGCACAGGGACAGGAACCCTTCTTACCACACATCCCCATTTTAATTGGCTTCTGACTGGAGTGGAAAGGGCACAGTGGATTTTGTAAACCAGATTTGCAGCAGCAGTTCTCTCACCACCAGAAACAGAGCAATGATCATGCATGGTCACTGAAGCAGGAAAGTGTGGTCAAGACTTTAGGAAGGAAAGGTCTGTTGAGGGAAGAGAAAATGAGGTGATATAAACTCTGGACCAGTTGGGATGGTGGCTTGAATTACAAACAGAACTTCTTTTTGAAGCTGGTTTTATTAAAACCACATGGGACAGGAACTCTTTCATTTATTCTTTCATTTATTCAATAGCTTCGATGAACTCTTCAATGTGTCTTCTGTCTTACTAACCATTATCAGCTACTTTTTAAAAATTATTTTCCAACTGGTTATGAGTTGTTTTGAGGGCAGCCACCAAATCATTCTTATTGCTGCATGTCCAACCCTTCGCCAATGGCCTAGAATATGGTAAGTGCTTAAATAGGGCAAGTTCATTTGTTTAATGAACAAATATGTGAATGATAAATACTATGTTCTGAAATGGCCTAGTATAGAATTTTTAAAATAAGTAATCCATTTTAAAGGTTCTCTGGCAGTGCTCGCTTTCACAAGGCAGATAAGTACATGACCCTAAATTGCATTATAGTGCATTGGCCCACTGGCAATGACAATGGTTCAAGCAGCAGGTCCTCAAGACACTCTCCCTGCAGCATTATCCTTTTTCCCAAGGTTCCCAGAGATTAAGCTTAAGATTGCCATAGGTGTAGCAAAGGAGTAAGAGGAGCACTCCAGGGTCAGGTGTCCTGGGATCTAGTCCCAGCTCAGGCCTTTCCTCCGTGTGTACTTGAGAAGTTTCCACTCTTTTCTGCATTATCAACTTTGTCGCCATTTCCTCATCTTGCAGAATAAAACAACAATCACTGATCTGACCTGCCTACTTCCCAAATAACAAAGTATTCATGTGTACACAAAGGAGTCTACATACAAGTATTAATGAATTCCCCCTTTGTCAGGGAGACTTGAGGGTAGAGATTTATTAATAAGTGGTCTGAAAGACCCAGAATGCTTGATTCAAACGCTGGAAAATTTTACTGAGAAGGATGAATGTACTGAGCAACCGTGCTGGGCACAGGGAAGTTGCAGAGCTTGACATTGAACTCAGTCCTTACAATCTAGTCAGGACAGAGAGACTGGAGAGAAAAAGTGACAATGCAACACACGTGGTCCGAGTGATACGATGACTCTGTGAAAAGGGTACAAATGAGGAAAGGAAATTCTATCGGGGTATCAGAGAAGATATCACCAAGGAGGTGACGATTATTGTGGGTCTTACATGGAGTAGTTTTAATTCATCAAATAGATAAAAATGGGAAGGAAACTTGATGCAGAGGAACAAGCATTTGCAAAGACAATGAGCCGTGGAAGATCTAGAAAAACAGCAAAGTGCTAATGGAGACAAATGATGCTGCAGAGCTAAATATTGCCTCTGTCTTTTCAAGGGGCTTAGGTTTTAGCTATAGAACATAGCAATCCCCTTCTGTGTGTTTTAATCAAGACAGCATGTGCAGATTCATAACGGGAATTTGTCCTGCTGGAACTCTTAGAAAAAAAATGGGTTCCAAGGGAAAAAGAAAACCCTGACAGGTAAAGCTGGCCCCAATTCAAGGAAACAAAATCATGGGCACAGTCTTTAGGATGTTGTACAGAATTAAATAAAGCATAAGTGGAAGGATGTGTGTGAAAGATTCTGAAAGTTAAAACTCTCTCTCCGTCTCCCTCTCCCTCTCCCACCATCTTCTTGATTTTTCCAATTTATTTTTAATTTGATGTGTATAAAAGAGAAGAGTGCCGAGATCTTCCCACAGGCATAATGAAACATGAATTTATTTCTTTAAATGCAATTGACTTTTATGTGGAAAAAAAGGACAAGGGTTAATGCAGCATTTACTGTGACTCATTCCCATTTGGAGATTTAACGTTTGAAATGTTTATTCATCATTCTATAAATCTAGGTCTGTGATTTATAAATGCTTTCATTAGGTGAGACTGGATATGGCCCAATTTTGTTAGGTTTAATTTAGAAGAAAAATATGTGTTTTTATTAACATGTGATAAGTGGTTTCCTGTTCAGATAATTTTTTAATCACTGTGCTATCATAATTCCCAACCTTCACAAAAATAATGTGTTTATTCCTTGGTTAGTCTCTTCAGAGAATAGGTTTGTCCCCAGAATGTGAGGGCAATAGTCATCATCTGATGCCACCATTGAGAAGCAACTCTGCCACCCCCCTCCATACACACACTCACCTGCTTGCTGTGTATTTCCCGGTTGGGAGGATTCCCAATTCTGGGTCTATTCTTTGTTCTACATCAGCTGTGCTGTGGTTGTTGTGAGAAATGTCACCCTTCTTTGATGTGACCTGTACTAACTACTTCTTTGAACCCATGTATTTTTTTCCTGGCTCTTCTGGCTCTCATGGCAGAAGTGCTTGCTCGTCCACCTAACCTAAGACGATGTCTATTTTATTGGTTTTAAGCCCAAAAAAACAACTACTATACCTCCCTCAACCATGCTAGGTCTTCTTCATCCATACCTTCTCCTTGTTGGTCAGAGGTGGCCGCTAGATGAGCTCACCTGGCACGGGTACAGCCATTTTCTTTCCACCCCTCCATGCCATTTTGCTCCCCAAAAAACAACTACTATACCTCCCTCAACCATGCTAGGTCTTCTTCATCCATACCTTCTCCTTGTTGGTCAGAGGTGGCCGCTACATGAGCTCACCTGGCACGGGTACAGCCATTTTCTTTCCACCCCTCCATGCCATTTTGCTCCCATCAATGGCAGCCAAGCTAAGAACAGCTGTGATGACCATCAATGGCAGCCAAGCTAAGAACAGCTGTGATGACACGAAGTGTGCTGTGAGTGAGCCTCCTTGCTTCAAGTTCTCCTGGACAGCCTTCTGCCTCAACCAGTTCATCCCCTACACCTGACTTGACCAAGTGGCCATGATGGAACTGCCGTGTGCTTACATCAGACCACATCTGTGGTCTCTTGGGATCTTCTCTTCTTCTTCTGGATTCTGTATGTTTGTCATTACAGCAACAGATGTCACACAGGCTATGCTGTGGCTACCCTATGGAGAGTCACTGCCCAAGCTATTTCACACACATGCCTCTCATATATGTGTCATCCTGTCCTTGTACATCTCAGTGCCCTTTTCTTCTGTCATTGCTTTAGCTCCCATATACACAGAGTGGTTCCCATCACTTTGCTCAGTGTCTACATACTGGTGGCCTCCATGTTCAACATCATCATCTGTGGTGTAAAGTAAGCATATCCAGGAAAGCATGGTGCAGAGATTTTGTTGGAAAACTCCCTGCCACAAAATCCCTGTCAGGCAAGGACCAAAGAGGTATAAATAATCAAGTACATCTCAATCTGCTATTGAGTTTTATCTTGGGAAAATTTTATGAAATTATCTAAGTTAGTAAATACTCCTGATGAAAATTCTTGAAGAGCAAGGATCTAGGAATCTTTGCATGAAGACTATAATGATTCCCCATTCAGATACTGCTTTTTAAAATGTTGTTTATTATGTTTTAACATAGACAAAGAACTGTTCTGAGGAAATCTGGTGGAATGCCTCTGTATTCTAGTTTTTCCCAGGACTGTCTTGACTCTTTTCTTTATATTAATTGAAGAAAGCAAAATTAAATAAACATACTGCTGAATGTGTTGTTTTTAACTAATTTGTAGAAGCCATAATTTTAGTTCATATGAGAAAACTCGAAATGTTGAAGCGTTTGGACGCTTCTGCATTACACAAGATTTGCACCTGTGAGTCTGAGTTCTTACAGTATGGATACTAGAGGTAATCTCCACTGACATTGCAGGGGAGATGTGATCTCAATTTAGTTATCATGCCTGGAAAGAATGGTGCCTGTAGTTACATCAAGAAATGAATATAAAATTAAATGGGATAACTTATGTAAAAGTAGTAATGAAGATAGTTTTATTATACATACTGTCCCTACACATACCAGCACATGGAAATAGGTTATTGGAAATGCATATACAAATTTAATTATCAGGAAAATAGGTAACTTAAATCTGGCTCTGCAACTTGTGAGTTCTTTCACTCAGGACAATCACTCTACTTCTTTAACTCTAGTCTTTTTTTTTAAAACTGATACAAAGTATGGTCAAATGCTCATTTTGTAGTGTTAAAATGAAATAAAACATGTAAAAGAACTACCAACTGCCTGGTTAATAGCAAATATCCACTAAATTTTCATACAGTGGATAAACAACAACACATATAATCCCCATCCCTTTTTCTCCTTTTCTGTGTGTGTCCATCTAAAAGTCCTGTGACGCCTCCTCAGGCAGTGAAAGAATCATCTGTTTTCCAAGTATAAGCCATGTATGTGATAACAGAAGTCTATGTTCAACTAAGACACCGGAATTGCTTTCAGTTTATTGATATTTAACTCCATCTGATTTCCTTATATTTGGAATGACCAAAGTACTATTGATAGCTAGCCCAGAGTGAGTGTTCTCTTATTCCGACCAGAAAGAGGGAGAGTGCTCCTTGCTTCTCTCATCCTTCCCTCAGGACAGCAGACAATATCTGCACAACCCACAGGCCGGGCCCTGCCCCTTCAATGTTACCTGAGATTAGCAAACTAGGCATTATAGTGACATGGTTGCCCTTATTCTAGGAAACCTACTAGGAGAATGTTCGTCAAAAATATCTTTCCCTAGTTATGTTGGTAGGGTTGGTGAGGGCTGGAGGCAGGGCAGCAGGGTGGTGCTGTATTTGGGCCCATTAAAACCTTTTCTTCTTTAAGAGGAAAATTTCCTCCCAAAGAAGTAATTCCATAGTTATCATTACTTACTACCTGTGATTTCCTTCAGGTCATATCTGTCTTTATGAACTGAGGTGTGTCTATGTGTTAGTGTGTGCACATACTTTAAAAAGTATAGCCACCTGAGTGAATGTGTGTTTATACTTCTGCTCCTAGAGTCAAATGATTCTTCTATTTTATTGCTCTTGTTTAATCCAAAACACCAATCTAGACATGTATAAGTGGGCAATGGGTGGAAAATACTTGTCAACTATAAGCAGCCAAAAAATATTCTTATGACCCTATATTAATAACAGAAAAGAAGATGCCAGAAAGTCAATTTGCTTAGCAAAATGTCTAAATATAATCTCTATCTAATACCTTTTAAATCCACTTTCCAAATATAAGCCATGTTTTGATAAAGGAAATTTTTGCCATTCCTTTTTCTCATTTTTGATGTCCTCTCTTCCCAAATGCCCAGCACCTATACTCTCAGGAAGAATAAACCACAAAGTTACCAAATCAAATTAGAGCCATGAGAATTTAATAATGATGCAATTCAAGTTGTTTAAATTGTAGCAAGAACGCTGACTGATGGAGCTGACAAGTAGAATAAAGCAAATTATAGCCCGAGGTTCATTCGGTAATTGCCCACCCATCCTTCTCCAAAAATTATCTAGATACACAAAATATCTGAGAATAAATTACAAGATGCTCTGATATATGCTGTTAATGGGATTAATAATAATAACAGCCAAAGTTCAGGCAAGGTTATTACCATTATACATATACTAATTCATTTATCCCTCTTATCAATTCTATGAATTAACGCTGCTGCTTATATCCATTACACAGGCCAGATGAGGAATCTGAGACATACAATAATTAAATTGTTCAAGATTACACAGCTAGTAGGTAGAATTCAAGATTCAAACTGAAACTATAAAATATCAAAATCCACCATACTATGATTTTCCTACTACTCAAAGAAAGCCTAAACAATAGGATCGGGTGGTTGCTAGGAAAACAAAAAGCACAACTTAGCACATTTATCTGTAAGTGTCAGAAGCCTAAGCTGGGAATGACTCAGAAACCTGGAACCCAACCTAGGGGAATCTGAACACGAGTATAAAGCCCGAATCATAAAGCCTGAATTTTTGAAACGCACAATTTGTTATTCATTATTTGGTGCCATGCAGTTTTTTAAGAATTGTAACTACAGAGAAATGGAGAACTCTACTTTTAATAAACTTATAAGAGAAATAAGACAAGACAATTGCAACAATAACAGCAAAATCTGGTGAATGTAACAAGGCAGGAACAATTTATTATGAGAGTAATAAAAAGATAATGATCCAAGAATGTGATCTAAGGTGCAGAGAAATAAGGCAGCTTCTTTGTACTGGACCTAAGGTACACAGTGGGAGCTTAACCAGGAGGGATGACAGCAAGGCCTCAACTACTCCAACAAGGGATCAAGGTCCCAGCATAACTAAGTTAGCAAAACTCTTTTAAGATGGGTTGTGGAGTCCTATACTGCAAAGAAAATTAGTCCCAGAACCTGAATAAGAATTGGGTCTGTAGTTGTTAGTCAATAGTCTTATTGGAACCTAAAGGGTTAATTCAAAGAACAAGCCTAGCTGCATGTGCATCTATTTTGCCTTCTATGGTAGATTTTAGGCTTCTACAGGGCACAAATTTTCCCTCATTTATTTATGCATCCCCCATATTTATCAGAGCTTGTGACATAGTAGGTGCTCAAGAAATTATTGTTGACTTGTGAGATGAGAAGATTGAGAATTACTGGTAAAGCAAGCACAATATTGGAATATTAGTTTTTAAAATCTACAGTTTATGGATGCAGCATAATGTTGCACTTTGAAGGTAGCAGTTCAGCTACAATTAGAAACAGAAGAGAAGTTTATATACAAAGTTCTGAATATAGACATGATCAGGAAATGCATTGTTTTGAGACCTTCACACATTTATTTGTGTCAGGAACTGTTAGCTATGATTGTGTCATAGTAAAAATGATGTGTAGAAAGGGAAATAATATAAAACAGTCATGAGTGATCTAGAAAAGGGAACCGCTACTAATGGAGATCCTTTACGGTCATAAGGCAGAAAGCAACATGTATACTGTTTATTTGTCATGGGATCAGAGAGGGTTATAGAGGGAGAGACTATCCAGACTCTGACCTACCCACGTTCTCACTGGTCCCTTCTCTGCTCATCTTTTTTCATACACCACCCTCATTCTGGGGAAGAGAACTATGGTCCCACCTGGTTTTATACTCATATTATTACCGATGCTTATATCTTCCCCCAAATACCAACAACATACCTTATTTTGGAGCAAGGAAGAGGGAGGAACACAAAGGCCCTTTTGATTTCCTATCAAAAAAGTGAATCCCAGAGTGAAGTGGGAGAAAACTCGTTGCTGTTCTCTGTTTATACCATAAATGTTCTTAGATAGCCCTCAAAATCCAAACGCAACTATTTAACAATTGCTCACTTCTTAAATGTAAATATACCTTTTAATTTTCAATACTTACACATCCATCTATTTAAATGTCCAATTAAGTTCTTTACATTTCTCATATGATAAGTTGATTGTTATGCTGTATGTACAGTCTTCCTAAATATTTACTTACATTGAGTGTAATGTTAACCTTTGTCTGATACATAACATATACCCATTAAATATTTTATTGAACCTAGTAAACATAGCCTGTGTGAATTCCTGTGTGATATCAAAAAGTATATCTTTACATCACGAATCATAAGGGAAATGCAATCAAAACCACACTGAGGTATCATCTCACCCCAGTTAGACTGACTATTATCAAAAATACAGAGAATAACAAATGCTGGAGAGGATGCAGAAAAAGTGGAACCCTTCCACACTTCTGGTGGGACTGTAAATTAACACAGCCATTATGGAAAACAGTATGGAGGTTTTTCAAACAACTACAGAAAGAACTACCACATGATCCAGCAATCCCACTACTGGGCATATATCCAAAGGAGTGGAAATCATCATGTCAAAGGGATACCTCCACTCCCATGCTCATCACAGCTCTATTTACAATAGCCAAACTATGGAACCAACTTAAATGTCCACCAACAGACTACTGGATAAGGAAAGTGTGGTATATATATACAATGGAATACTACTCCTCTATAAAAAAGAATGAAATTCTTCCATTTGCAGCAACATGGATGAGCCTGGAGAAAATTATGTTAAGTAAGATAAGCCAGACACAGAAAGAAACACACCACATGTCCTCACTCATCAATGGGAGCCAAAGAATAAATAAATAGAAAAAAGGGAAGAGAAAGAGAGAAAAAAGACAAGAGAGAGAGAGAGAGAGAGAGAGAGAGAAAGAAAGAAAGAAAGAAAGAAAGAAAGAAAGAAGGAAGAGAAAGAGAGAAAAAAGACAAGAAAGAGAGAGAGAGAGAGAGAGAGAGAGAGAGAGAGAGAGAAAGAAAGAAAGAAAGAAAGAAAGAAAGAAAGAAAGAAAGAAAGAAAGAAAGAAAGAAAGAAAGAAAGAAAGAAAGAAAGAAAGAAAGAAAAGAAACAACAATCACAATAATACACCAAACTTCCAGAAGGAGATAACAGAACTAGAGGTGGGAAGGGGAAGGGTAGCAACAAATTGGTTACACAAAGAAAGCTTATGTTTTGTAATGATGAATATGCTAATTATCCTGATTTGATCATCACACGTTGTACATAGACATTGATATTTAACTCTTTATACCACAAATATGTATAATCAATTATGTTTCAATAACAAAAAAGGGAAATCAAACAGTGAGAGCTGGTGTAGTATTCTCTGACACACTAGATGCATGATATAATTGTTAATCTACCGGATCCTCTCATCCTTCTTATGTAAGTAGTAAAGAATATACTTATTCCCCCAAAAATAAAACAAAATAAAACAAAAAATATATCTTTACCTTCAGGAAAGGTTGCTTTTCACTTAAAACTAATTTGTATACTAGTAAAATGTATAATAACCAAGCATGTATGGCTTTATTCCAGATCAAGGAATCTGAATATTGTTAGAAATTTGTTACCAGCATTTTTGGGTGACCCTATTTTAAGAACATAATAGGAGAGACTCTAGAAGCATTTCTTTTAACAGAGAGAAATAATTATAAGATAAGCTTTTTTGCAAATTTATTCTAATAAAATACATAGCAAGAGAAAATCTTCAGAAACATGAATGAGGCTCTCTCTGCTTCCACCATCTTGCAATGTAAGATCCCTGGGTCACTGTCACCATCACCAGAGGTATTCCTTGGACTTTGAACTTCCCAGCCTCTGAAACTATCTGTCAGTGATTTTTTACTAATGGACCTTCAGGGATGAAGAGGAAATTCTCATGGCTCCTGCAGTTATAGCACTGTGAACAGGATACAAAAGTCCCTCAGCTCTTCTGGAAGCCACAGTCAGAGGAAACCACAACCTGGCAAGTCTGGCAGAAAATGGACAAAATTGGAGACACTGTTTATTTTACCAAGACTTTGATTGGAATGTCATATTTTCAGATATGATCACACTGCTTTAAGGAATTGAAGTTGACTTTTTATGGAGCCAATAAAAAGCCCTTTCGGAAGAATGGCCTGATACTATACTCGATTGCAGGGTGCCAGCCTTGCAGCCGTGATCCACTTTGACCTTCTACACACTTTGGGGCTGCTGATCTTCCTTTTGATGTCCCCTGCTGCCTCACCTTCTGCCTCTGGATTCACAGTTTTCTAAAGTTATTTGTGAGAATCAAATGGGAAAAAAATACATATGAAAAGAATTTGCAAACTGAAGAAAAGCATACTCATGTGAAGATTTATTATCATAGAACCAAAACATTTTGCCTTTTATAATTTTACAGTGAACACAGGTGCTTGCTTCAGCAGCACATTTACTAAAATTGGAACAATACAAAGAAGATTAGCATGGCCCCTGCACAAGGGTGACATGCAAATTCATGAAGCATTCCATATTTTTCGAGCCCAGGCAGTGGGGCACCAAGGGCCCTGACCATACTCCACCCCCCCCAACACCCACAACCAGCCCAGTGATGACCACCAAGACACCACTGGAAGCTCCCTGGTCTCCCATGCAGGAATGAGGGGGGTGCCACAGGCCTCAACCCCCTCTTCTCCTTCCTTCTTCTCCCACCTTATTTCTTTCCCTTTTCCCTTTTCCCCTCTCCCCCTACTCCTCAACTGCTCCTCAACAATATCATAGAATGTAAAAAAAATAAAGAATAGTAACATTAATAAATAAACTTAAAAAAACAAAATAAACTAGAACTCAGTAGTTTATTAAGTGCACAAAGTACATCTGTAACAAAAAGTACATAGAAAAATGGAATTGAAAGATAATATGAATCTATTTATGAACTTTTTGAAGACCCCTCGAAAGTTTAGAATAAATAACTAATTTTTTGCATATAAGGTAATAACCTCAACTATAAAATCCATCATTAAATAGATAAAGCTGGGTTCCATTACTACTTGTTAGTATCCCTTTCATAAATTTTCAAAAGTGTTTATTATAGCTTATATAATTTAAGCAGTTGTGGTGTGTGTGTGTGTGTGTGTGTGTGTGTGATATTTATCTATATGCTTAAAAAATGAGGAAGCATTCCAGTGTGGCACCTCCAGATGCCAGCTTCAAAGAAGTGTTATGTTTAATATATCTCTTTCACACGCACCTTCATTCTACAAGAGCACTCTGTAAGTACAACCTACCATTGATTTTTGCTTTCTTCTTGGAAAATTATCTTTGCTCTTTTGCATCATCTCTACTTGAACTTGGATGCCTATCTTGCTCTGATATACTTCTTTTGAACTCATTATCTGAACTCAGAATAATAGCAACCTTCACTCTTTTTCTGAGCTATGATTTTTATTTGCTCTTCTAAATAAATGTTCTCTCAAATTCTTGAAATTAACCCAAACTGGTTCTGACCTGGCAAACCCATGGGAGCATACCCAAAATGAACCACTTTTTCAGACTTGTAATGACTACCCTGACAAATGTTAAAGAAATCACAATGACTTTGCATTATGAAAATCATCATGGTTAAATAATTTCTATAATGAAAATATTAACAAAAAAAAGAAACATGAATGAATGAATGAATCTGAAATCCATCTTGATTAGAAAATTTTCAGAAAGACCACATAGACACATAACAATTTCTACCATTAGTTATATACGGTCAACAATCCTACATTTCTCTTATTCAAATTAGAAGCTATTGTTCTTTGACTAGACGTCTTAACCAAATTTCTGATGCAAGTAGCTGTATCATGGGAATCCAAGCAGTCCTTCACTTTCAAAGACCCACTAATAGATAAATAGGAAAAAAAAATCACAAAGAGAGAATCAGGACCTTATATTCCACCATTCAGGTTTCCTGGGAACTCACGCATGAGGTAACATCAGGACAAAATGGAGACATGGTCAAATGCACATAGCTGTGTTTCCATCTTTATCTCTCCATCCATCCATTTATTCAACACATTCTGACCACATTGAATATGTTGTCTACTTGAGGTGAGCAGGGGGTCAACAAAACACTTCGTTTATTTATTTTTATTGAACAAGATCACATTGAGCATACTGAGAAAATAACTACCCTCTTCCTGAACCCAACTCTCATCTGCCCAACCCTTCAGACTTCTTGAACCCAAATTGGCTCTTTGTCCAAAGTTTATAATGAATTTAAACAGCTCTTCTTCTGACAATTCCAACTGTGCTATAATTGCTACTTCTGTAGCTGACCCTGCCAAGTGCTGAAAGAAGTAATAAGGAAGGAAATAAAGGAGTTTAATGCCCATTTGGACACAGTGCGGACACCATTTTAATCTGTGCAATTATCTACCAGGTCGCAAATAGAAAATTAAATAGGCAAATTGGACAAGCAAGGCCATTACTGGTAAAATGTTTCTGTGGCTGAGCATCTACCCCCGAAAAGCTACTCCCACTACTTAAATGTGAATTGTGGGTATAACAGCATCTCACTACTCTAGCAACTAGAATCCTAGATTTCTCCAAAAGTCAGTAAGATATTACTCCACAGAAAGAGTTCTAGCCCTGTGGAATGTTTCTTTAGGGCCTTTTGCACTCAGAAATAAATATTTATGTTAGGTCAATTGTTCTGAGAAAGCAGAAGGGATGAAGAAGATTGAAGAGGGATAGGGTGATAGAGTCTTTTCTTCAGAAATTTCCCAGTGCACTAAGTGCCTGTTAAGTATTCTAAGAGCATAATTGAATTTTCCAGGTATTGTTAGGCAGTGACATTAATCTTTTGCATATAAAGGCATCATGATATCCAGGAAGACACTGGATTTTGAGTCAATAGACCTGGATTAAACCCCAGATTTTTATCTCAAACAAGTCATGTAATATTCTAGTCCCTTACTTCCTTTATTTGTAAATTAAAATTATGATTACCCATTTCAAAGAACTGCAGTTAAAGCTAAATAATAGTAGGTACTTAAAGGAGCCAAATGTAGAATTTGAAGGTAGTAAGTGCTCAATGAGCATTACTGATGCTATTGTTGTTTTTGTTGTTCAAGAAGAACTATGGGTCAGTGTGGGGGGAAAATGCAGCAGAGAGTAAAATCGGATAGAGTAGATCCCAGCAGGAAGAGAAATCCCCATCAAAACTCTCTCAATTTTGCTTGGAAGAGCTTGAGGATGGCCCTATGGATTTGTTTAGTCTTCATGCTATATATGATGGGGTTCAGCACAGGTGGGCCGAGAAAATGGAGGTTGGACAGCAGTGGGTGAACAAATGGTGGAACCTTGTGGAAAAATCTGTGGACAACTGAAAGAACAATCCAGGGAATGTAGAACACTGCAACTGCCCCAATGTGGGAGCCACAAGTGCTGAAGGCTTTATTCCGTCCCTCTGAGGAGGCGATGCTGAGTACAGAGCGGATGATGAGGATGTAGGAGAGGACAATACATGGTGTATCAAGTCCTGTGACCAGAATGAGAACAGCTAAGCCTCCATAACTGTTCATCCTCGAATCAGAACATGCTACCTTAAGCACATCAGGGTGGAAGCAATAAGAATGGGAAAGGACATTGACTTTGCAAAATGACAGCCTCTTAATGAGGAAAAGAGAAGGGCAGAGACTGATCAGCATTCTAAGGACAATTGCTACACCAATCTTTAGAATCCTGGAGTCTGTCAGGATGGTGGCATACCTAAGGGGTCTGCAGATAGCAACGAAGCGGTCAAAAGCCATGGCCACCAGTACAGAGGATTCCATAAAGCCAGAGCTGTGGAGGAAGAAGAGCTGGACAATACATGCATCAAGGGTGATTTCACAAGCATTGATCCAGAGGACACCAAGCGTAGTGGGCATTGTGGAGGCAATGAAGCGGTCAAAAGCCATGGCCACCAGTACAGAGGATTCCATAAAGCCAGAGCTGTGGAGGAAGAAGAGCTGGACAATACAAGCATCAAGGGTGATTTCACAAGCATTGATCCAGAGGACACCAAGCGTAGTGGGCATTGTGGAGAGGGTCAGCCCAAGGTCGGTGGTGGACAGCATAAAGAGGAAATAATACATGGGCTCGTGGAGACTGGGCTCCAGAATCACCACTAACAGGATCATGCTGTTCCCTAAGACGGCAACAGTGCTCAGAAGGAAGAAAGGAATTGAGAGCCAGATGTGGAAGGCCTCCAGCCCAGGAAAGCCTGTGAGGAGGAAGATGGGGAATTCAGATGTGGTGTTGCTGAGATGTGACATGGTGAGCTGGGGAAGCAGCATCCACCTTCACTGAGCACACACACTGCTCAGAGGAACCGAACTCCAGACCCGTCCATGCCTGAGAGATTGCTGAGCAGGTTCTCCTCCAAATCTGTGGAGCCAGCCTAAGGGTATAAAAACACAACAGCCCTCATTCATTCAGTCATTTTGCTGCCAAAGCACTTTCTACTCTCATAATACTGCCTCATTCTATCTCACAACAGTTGCAGTGAAAAGGACCAGCAGGTCTCGCTACCTTGCTTTGATGGGTAAACTAAGGAAGGAAAAAGAGTTGAAGAAATGGTACCCCATCTAAGGATCCTATCCTATTCTCATGGCCAGCTCACTGAATGTCATCAGTTAACAGATTCTGAGGCAGGAACCAAGCAAAGTCCCAAAGATTTTGGAAGGAGGGTTGGCATTAAATTCTGAGTTGTGAGTTTTTCCTAGTTTCCCAAACAACTGTTCCTCCTACTAGAATCAGACTCAGAAAGCAGGAAGAATCCCCATCTGCTTTCCTCTTTTCTCAGTCCCAGCTGTTATCTTCCCTGTAGCTTGAATCTGCTCTAAGGTCCTGCACTTCCACACACACTCAGGCTGAGAGAGGAAATACAAGTAATCCTCAATCTAAGGCTTTATATCGAATCCCAAGGAGCCTTCTTCCATTCCCCCAGGTCCATTAGGGCTGGAGGAGAGGGTGAACTTTGAGAAAAGAATTAAATTAAAGCTGCTTTTTTTTATTTATTTATTTTATTTTATTTTATTTTATTTTATTATTTTTTTTTTTTTGCACCAAGTAGGTGGGGAATTGTTATTCCAAGTAAGGTTTTAAACACTACTGCCTCCCCAATGGAATAGAGTCCCTGATCCAGAGACACATCTCTGAACAAATCTATTGAATTGTAAAGGATACTGGAGCATTATTAAAATAAATCCCAAGGGAGCAGGAAATGATCTTGCAATTTTTAATGAAGTTCAAAGAACTCTTCCTGGTGCTTATTATGGCTATCTCCTGCTTCAGTCATTTGCCACCTCATGAACCTGTTTTTTTAAAGCCACACTCTATTTGCAAAATTTGGTAGAAAAAATATTTGGTAAGGGGATTGTGTGGGCTAGAGGTTTTATGCATAGCCATTAGGGATTTATAGTGATGATTATGAAAATGATAATAAAAAGATGCAATTTGGCTGACATGTGCAATGACTGGGAGTTTAGAAAAGTCACTCAGGTCAAGTTTATTATCAGAATAAAAAGAAATCTATTAGTTAATAGAAACACTAAATCTAGAGGATGGTACAAAATATTGCTAATTTATCTACGGAATCACCTTTCAGCTAATGTGGCTGTTGCAAATAGGTATACAGATCAAAAGAAATAGTAATCAGGGTCCGTGCCCAAGAAATCCTAACTACAGAATCTCACCCGTATCCTGATATGATTTGGGGAACAAGATCTAGAACTTCAAGCTTATACCATAATAAGATGAGACTTGGAGTATGTGGGAGAGAGGATAGGGTCTTTTTCATTTTTCAGCAATGTGAATTGTGGCTAGTACAGTGACCAACTCTCCCTGTTTTCCAGGATTAAAGGGTTTCTTGGACCATGAGACTTTCAGTGACAGTCCTGGGCAAACTGGGATGTTTAGTCACCTTACTAGAGGACTGAGGACAAAAGACTTTGTTTTCCAGAGATGGACACACCAACATATATTAACTCACGTGCATTTCTTACAATGTAACATTGACATCTCTCCATCAAGGGTGAAGTCTATGTTGACTCACCTTGAATCTGGATGGGCCTGTGACTATGGGAGAATTGACACCATGCTTCTGTATTAATTTCCCAGGACTTCCATAACAAATTACAACAAACGTGGCTTAAAATAAATCAAATTTATTCTCTTAGTTCTAGAGACTGGTGTCCAAAATCAAGGTGTCAGCAGGGCCATACTCCCTCCAAAGGCTCTAGGAGAGAATCCTTCCTTGCTCTTCCAGCTTATGGTAACTTCAGGTGCTTCTCGGCTTGTGGCTACATAATGTCAACTTCTGCTTTTGTCTTCACATGGTCTTCTACTCTTCTGTCTCTTAAAAGGATGCTTGTCATTGGATTTAGAGCCCACCTGATTAATCCAGGATGATCTCATCTTGAGATTCTTACCTTAGTTACATCTGCAAGACACCTTTTCCAAATAAGGTTATATTCACAGGTACTAAGGATTAGGACTTGGACATCTTTTGATGGGACACCATTCAATCCACTATAGTGTCTTTCAAGGCTAACTTATTAAAAGCAATGCAGATTCCTACAGATTCCTGGTGCACTTGGGAGACTCACCCTTGGAAACCAACTGCCATGATGTAAAGGAAACAAACACCTCATGAAAAAGCTATGTGTATGTATTCTGACCCCAGCCCCAGCTGAGATCCTAGCCAACAGCCATCATTAACCACCAAATATTATGAATGAGGAGGCCTCCAGATGACTTTAATTCCCAGCCTTTGAATTACATATATGTACATGTAATCACAGTTTTAAAGTTTATTTTCCAGTTGAGTCATATTTGCACTGTTTCTAGTTTTTTGTTATTATGGATAAAGATGTACTTAAATAGTACTTTGTGAGGAGATATGCTTTCACTTTTCTTAGGTAAACACCTAGGTGGAGTTGCTTGCTGATATAGTAACTGTATGTTTAACTTTATAAGAAACTGCTGAACTATTTCTAAAGTGACATTTTTTGTTTCCACCAGCAATGTACAAGAGTTCAGCTTGCTCTGCATCATATATATATATCTGATAAAGGAATTATATGCAAAAACAAACAAAGAAAAACACAATAAGATAATGGCAGATAATTATGAGGAAAAACAGGTTAAAGTATTCAACAGGCACTTTTATAAGATATCCACATGCCCAAAGCACACATAAACAGGTGACCAACTTTATTATTAATGAAGGAAATTTAAAACATAATGTAATACTACTACACATACACCAGAATGGCTAAAATTACAGACAATACCAAGGGATGGTGAGAATGCAGAGCAAGTTAATTCTCATGCACTGCTTGTGGGAGGGTAACTTGATGTAGCCATATCAGAACCTTTTGGTGATACCTGTTAAAACTGCGTACCTTATGAACTAGACATTTTATTCCTTGCTAAAAACCCAAAAGAAATTATTTCAGATGCTTAAAAAAATTAACGTGTAAGAAAGTTTATAACAGTATTATTTGTAATGACTTCAAGTTGGCAAATAAAAACCAAATAACTTTCAATAGTAGAACAAACAAACAAGTTGATATATACCCATAAATGGAATACTATGCAATGGTGACAATGAAAAAAAAAAAAAAAACTACTACATGCAATAACACTGATGACTATACAATCACTCAATATCACTCAATTCAATATCAAGTGAAAAACTCAAGAAGCAAAAATGTACATACTGTTTAATTCAATTTATACAAAGTTCAGTAATTGGAAAAATATGGTGTTTAAATTAGAACACTGGTTGTCCCTATGGAGGTTTTGACTTAAGTTGCAGATGTTGGTAATGTTCTCTGTCTTGAGCTGGGTGCTGGTTAATGGATCTATTCAGTGTGTTAAGATTCATTAAGTTGAATATTCATGATTTGCACATTTTCATGAATGCATGTAAAAGTTTATATTAAAAAACTACCACATGATAGGATATGTTGAACAACTTGACATTAATAAATTTGTCAGCTTAGACGAAATTTGACCTTGTCCTAAAAGCAGAACTTAGCAAAACTAATGTAGGAAGAAAGAATAAAAATATCTGTCCTGTATCCATAATAAAATTTTAATTTAATTCAGAAAGTTTCTGCAAAGAAATTCATCTCCAGAGGTGTTCACTAACAAATTCTTTCAAGAATGTAAGGGAAAAAGAGAAAGAGAAGAAATTTTAAAAGATACTAATTTTATAAAACTCTTCCAAAGGGTGGTGAGTAAAGAACACTTCCTAACTCATTTTAGGAGGCCTCAAAACCTTGAAAGGGCATTACAAAACAAGAAAAATGGAAGTCAAATTTCTTACTAACATAGGGGCAAAATCTCAAACAAAATGTTATCAAACATAACTCAGTACGAATTTTAAAAAAGCATGCAATGTATTTTACCACATTAACAAAAGAAAGAGAAAAACTACGTGATTTTCCAGTAAATATCGAAAAAAACTGATGAATTCCAATTGACATTCGTGTGAACTTAGTAAATCAGAAATAGAAACATTCTCATCAAAAAGTATACTTAATGTTGAAAGGCAGAAAATATTCCCTCTGAGACTGGGACAGGATGTTGGTGCCCACCAACACCATTTCTACTTAACTTCATATCAAAAAACTTCAGAAGTGCAATGAGGAAAGAAAAATAAAAGACTTCAGCATTATGAAAGAAATGAAAATAAAACAAATTCTTCACAAATAACACAACTGCATTTACATAATCAGAAAGAACAAATATGCATAGCATTTGATAAAATAATAGACATGAATTGATGAGTAATTATTATAATTGGTATTATTAAGCAAGATAACTGCATACCAAAACATTATTAAAATATCAATTGTATTTCTATAAATAAACTAATTAAAAATTAAAGTTCTAACATGATATCATTTGAAATATCATTAGAAATCATACAACTGAGAATAGATAAAGTATAATATGGGAAAAGAATTGATAGAAAAAACTATTAAGCATCAGATGGAGAAATTAAAGAAGATAAGTAAATACAGGGATTTATCACGTTCATGAATTATAAGATTCTATATTTTAAATGGCTAAGTTCTTCCAAAAAATGACCTATAGATACCATTCAATCCCAATCAACATTCTAGAAAGTTCTTTTTGCAGAAGTTATTCTAAAATTTATAAGGAAATGAGAAAACTCTGAAATTTCCAAGGAACCATTGCAAAATAATAAAGTTGAAGGGCTTATACTACTATGCATCAAAGCATGTTCTAGAGACAGTGTAGCACTGGTGCAAAGAGAGACAAATAGACAAAATGGGACATAGCAGGAAAGCTAGAAACAAACCCACATATAATCATTTGATACATGCCAAAAACGATATCACAGTGCAATGGAAAAAGAATGTTTACTTCCATAACTTGCGCCAGATATACTGGATATTCATACAGAAATGAAAGACACAAATGAGTGATAAGGAAGGTAAAAGAAGACAACTCAGTAGAAAACAAGCAAAAGACTTGGAAAGCCATTTCCTAAAGGGGTTATTCAAACAGCATAAAAGATATCAGAAGTTGTTACACCTTATTAGCCATGAAGAAAATGGAAATTAAAACTTCAATGCAGTACCAGTAAACACCCATGAGAAAGAATAATAAAAAAAACATAGAAATCCTACCTATAGAAAAAAATGTGAATTAACTTGAACTGCCATGCACTGCTAGTAAGAGTGTATACAGCTGAAGTTGCTTTGGAAAACTTCTTGGCAACATCTACTATAGTTAGACATACACATACCCAGAGGCCCAACAATTTTACTCTCAGGTGTATAGCCATTGGAAGTGCAAGCATATATTTTCTAAATACAAAGGGCATTGATAGTCATAGCAGAGTTATTCACAATAGAAAACAAAAATGGGAAAAACAACAACTATCCTTCAGCAACAGAACAGATAAATTAATTGAGGTAAGGTATAAATACAGCACTATTTCATTTATATAAAGTTCAAAAGTAGGCAAAACTAATTTTTTTTTTTCCTTTTTGTCTTTTTTCATGTCCGGCTACGGACCGCAACCCTCAGTGTTGCACCCGTACCGGACCGGGACCGGCAACGGGATCGCAACCCTCGGTGCTGCGCCCGCCCCTCGCTCAGCCAGTGAGCGGGAACCGGTCTGTATGTGGGATCCGAACCCTCAGCGGGAGCACCACAGCGCTCCCAAGCGGCGCACTGTAGCAGTGCGCCACCGGGCCGGCCCAAAACTAATTATTTTGATAGAAATCAAGATACTGATCACCTTTGAGTAGACAGTAATAATGACTGAAAGATCTCAAAATGTGGCTTCCAGGGTGCTAATTAATTTGTTTCTTTATCTGAATGGTGGTTACGTGGATGTGTTCAAATATGAAAATTCAAGCTGTAAAATTGTAATATGTGTATTCTTATGTATGTTGTACTTCAATAAAAGGTTTACATAAAATATCTAAGGAAAATTGGGTTTTTTTGTTTGGTAGTTTTGTTTTTTAATTTTGCCATCTATGGATAATAGGTAGGCCTTCAGAAATTAGCTAATCCTAAAACTTTCTACCTGAGCAAAAATTTTAAGAATGTCACACCCAAATCTGTTTGGATTTCACCTCTGATACTGTCTATGTAAAATTTAATAAGGTCCTTAACTTTTCTGCTTTTTAATCTCTTAACACATGAAGTGAAGACATCGTTGTTTACTTAGACTAACTATGGGATCAATGATATAATTAAATCTGATGACACACAAGTGCTCAGCAAATTCTGCATTTTATGTCTGAGGAAACTGAAATCCAGAGAGGTTAATCAAATTTCTTAAGGAATTACAAGTAGACATTGCAAAAATCAGGATGAGAAGTACCTAAAATTCTATTCTAGTACTCTTACATTTTAAGAGTGATTCTCTCAATCCTTTCTCTACATCAGAGAAAGGAGAAGTCACATTCACTTCCTGGCTTGTTATTAACTGAAGATCACCCTGAGTTCTTTGCCATGTCGTGGTGCTTCAAAATAAAGGAGAAAAATGACGTTTGGATGTGGGTCTTCTCTTTTCTTATGAACCAGAATTGCTGGTCTGCATCTATTATTCAATTGTCCCCGTTGACAAGAATGAACAAACTCCACCACAAGTCTAGGTCCTTGAGCTTCTTACTGCAGGAAAACAGCAAGTAACAGAGCAAGAACACATGCACATGAGAACATATCACCAACCCATGGAGACCCCGGGCACTAGCAAAATAAGGCCTAATTAATAGATCAGGAGCTGGCTCATTTCTAGGGGGAAAGCTAGTGAGTGGCTGAACAGAGATGGACTTGAGAATGAACACATCATCTTCCCTATGGGTCCGTGTGGTACTGTATGCATAGGGGCTTGGAAACTGAGGTGCAAAGTTTCTTCCCTCTACATTGACACCATAATTATTCCAGTGAACAGTGATTTGCTTTCTGATCCTCCCAACATACTGGTAATCCAGAGCCAATGACATGCACCTACCTCTCCATTACCCAGTGTCTAGAACAATACCTAAATTTGCCATTTATACATACAATTTGGTTTATTTTGGTTTAAATTTGTTGTCCCTTTGGCCCACTGGTCACTTGAGTTAGTAGCTAAAACCATTCTGAAATTGCACAGCCCTGATGTGTCATTTTTATAGATGGAGAGAGAGGAATTTTGTTTTTTCTCTGTCTGTGGCCCCAGGGAGAGCCACACTCTACAAATGATCCCACAGCTCAATCCCACTTTACTATAAAGTCCGTGGCTTCAGAACTGTAGTCTGTTCTTTCTCTGCTAGCAAACACAGAGAAGGCTCCTCTTTCTACACGAAGCTGGTAAGAAGGTAGAGAGACCTGTTCATTGTGTTTACTTTGCTTTGATTGTTATCTATTCACAAGTACGCAGACAGGCTTACAGAAAAGTCAGATAACATTAGGGTTCACCACGTCCTCAGGTAGCCATATAACACACACATATATAACCTGTAATAAATTATAGTTAAATATTTAGTGGTTTTTCTGAGATTGAATTGAAACCCAGGAAACTAGACATTAAAAAGAAACTATGGAAAACCAGGAAAAAGGGAATGGAAACATGTATATTTATTATAAGTATTTACTATCATTAAGTAAGCTTCATAATTGCCCTGCATAGTATTTGAGAAATCTTTATTTTATATTACCAACACTGTAATAACTGATATTGCTATTATTTGATTTTTATATCTACCTAGAATTGATTTTTAAAATGTAAATGTATTACTTTAAAGTTGTTTTTAGAATTTGAGTTGAACAAGGCTTTATCACATTTCTGTGTGAATTCAGTCAACTGCCTCTCTCATTCTCTGCCTACTGAAAACCTGTACCTTATTCTCAAGCAAGCCGCCATCACTTCATACTTCCTGAATAGTAGTAAATTTCCCCTAATACTTCACAGAGCAAAAGGTAGACACTGGTGACAATTTTTTCACATAAGTCTCCACCAACCTACCATTTGCCACTTACTCTCTGCTGACAGTGGAAATAATGATCCTCATCTTTTTGTTAATTTCTTTCATGCTCCACATTCAATCACCTACTACTTTCAAAGGGGCTTTTATATATCAATTAATCCCACTTGTTTTTTATTTTCAATCTCTCACTACTTTCTGTATCTTTATCTTCATTTCATGAATTTATCCCTTTCTCTAAGTCTTTCTCATGCTGCAAAAATCTTTCAACCATCTTAATGCCTTCATAAGAAATGGGCTATTTCTCGACTTGCCTTCACTGTCAGGTTTCTAGAAATTAAATACACCACACCCTACTACTTACTTTTCCATTTATTCCCCAAGCCACTTTAGCAGAATCTCAGCTTGCATTGCTGGACTTCATCGGCTTTTTCCAGGATCACTAATGTGCTCTTAGCTGTATTTGAATGTTTTAAACTTTACCAGATGTGACTACTCACGGAATTCAACATTGCTGTTCATGTAACGTCTAGTCATGGCGCCATGCTCTCTTGGTTTTTATGGTTCCTGCAAAACCAGACTCATCTTTTCAGTTTGTTCTATCCCATAACTTCTAGAGAGTTCTCTCTTCATTGGTTGTCTCTTATAAAACTATTCTCTGAGGTTGTTGATCCACACTGTTTGATTAAAATGAGATATATGAAATGATAACGTCCAAACCTATGTTTCAGACAGAATGTGGAGATCCACACCTGGAGATTCACGCTCACATAATTTCTGCAGACCCATAGGTACCGTCAAGTGGATTTCTCGTGCTCATTTTACTCACAACATATTCAAAGCTAATTGCACTGATTTTTCTCAACTAAGTCTTTATTCATATAATCTCATGATCTAATGGAGTTTAAAACTCTGTAAATATAAAAAAAAAATTATCATTAAAATGTAAAATCATATGAAACTCCTTTCCATGAAATTAAGGATTGAAAACTTTGCATGTTTGGTAAATATCCCTGATTATGAATAGTAGATAAATATTATAATTTAATTTAGAGTTTTCTCATCAATAAAGAGCTTATCTATGACCTCTGGTAATTCTCCTAACCAAATGCTAAAATTCCTTAATTATAAAAACCAATTATCATCAAAATGTATTAAATCATATGAACATATTTTCCTTGAACTTAAGAGTAAAAATTCTCATACATTTCCTAAATATCCCTGATTCTAAATAGTAAATATTATAATTTAGTTTAGAGTTTTCTCGCCAATAAAGAGCTTATCTATGACCTCTGATAACCCTCCTAACCAAATGATAATTTATCTAAATGCTTTTGTATAACAATGTAATTTTTTACTTCTGTAGGTCGTGAGCATTGGGTGGAGCTACAAACACAGGGCAGCATGGAACTCCTAGCCAACGTGACATCTACAATTCCTACCTTCTTATTGAACAGCATTCCTGGCCTAGAGGCTGTCCGGGCCTGGATCTCCATTCCCTTCTGCTGTCTTTATGCCGTTGCTCTCTCTGGGAACAGCATCATCCTGTTTGTCATCATTACCCAGCAGGGTCTCCATGAGCCCATGTACTATTTCCTCTCCATGCTGTCAGCCTCGGACCTGGGCTTGACTCTTTCTACAATGCCAACAACCTTAGGTATCCTCTGGATGGATGCACATGAAATCAGTCTAGATACCTGCATTATCCAGATGTTTTTTCTTCATGGATTCACTTTCATGGAATCTGGGGTGCTGGTGGCTATGGCTTTTGACCGCTATGTGGCAATCTGTGACCCTCTGAGGTATACTACCGTTCTCACTAATTCCAGAATCATTCAGATGGGTCTCCTAATAAGCCTACGTAGTGTAGTATTAATAGTACCATTACTCTTGCTCCTTAAGCCTCTCCATTTCTGTAGAATGAATGTTCTTTCCCACTCCTACTGTTATCATCCAGATGTGATTAAATTAGCATGTTCAGACATTCGAGCTAACAGCATCTTTGGGTTAATTGATCTCATCCTGACCACAGGAATAGATACACCATGCATCGTTCTGTCGTATATCTTGATTATACATTCTGTCCTTGGTATTGCCTCCACTGAAGAACGGCACAAAGTCTTTGGCACCTGTGTCTCCCACATTGGAGCAGTTGCTATTTTCTACATCCCTATGATGAGCCTGTCATTGCTGTATCGCTATGGCCGCCCAGCCCCCAAAGTGGTCCATTCAGTGATGGCCAATGTGTACCTGCTTTTGCCCCCTGTGCTCAACCCCATCATCTATAGTGTGAAAACAAAACAGATCCGCAAAGCTATGCTCAGTCTACTCATCACAAAGTAAATGAAATTATTAAGTTTAAAGTGTCTTTCACCAAGCAACTTTGGTTGGTTACTGCCTATTGGATATCTTTTTTTTTTTTTGTCATATTTTAAATCTATTCAGAAACATTTAGCAAATATTTTTGTGCAGTTGTCCTTCGGTGTCTTCAAGAACTCTCACAGGTACCAAATCCACATATGCTTAAGTCTCTCGTATAAAATGGCATAGTATCTGTATACAATAATACATATCCTCAATTATTCTTTAATTCATCTCCAGATTACTTATAATGCCTAGTACAACCTAAATAGTATTCAAATAGTTATCATACTGTGTTTTTCTGTATTGGTATTATTTTTATTTTTATAGTGTTATTTTTAAAATTTTTTCTGAGTATTTTTGATCCCTGCTTGCTTAATCTATGAATGCAGAACCTGCTGACACTGAAGGCGAACTCTGTTTTCAATCTTAAAATTTAAGTGTGATATGTTACCTCAAGCATTTTACAGTTTAATAAGGAAATGAAATACTACCATTTGCAGCAACATGGATGGACTTTGAAAAAATTACATTAAGTGAAATAAGTCAGGCACAGGAAGAGAAATATACATGTCTGACTTATTTTTGGGAGCCAAAAATAAATAAATAAATAAATACACAAACAAATGGGGGGAGAGGGTAGAAAACACAACAATCACAATTCCATGAACTTGTTAAGACAAGTAAACAGATATGAGGTTGATGGGTAGGAGGGGGGAGAAGGAGGGTGAGGGAGGAATCGGTAAAGGGACATGAAAATCAACAACATTGTATATTTATAAAATAAAAAAATAAAAATTACAAATAAACATATAAAAATAAGAGAAACAGAAAAGTAAAAACATGTAAATCCTAAAAACAATTCTCATAGCAACTAACATTTATTGACTCTGTTTCATGCTTGGTGTTAAGCCGGAAGCCAGCCGGCAATGGCAGGGTGAGAAGACGAGCGCAGGATTAGAAAAGAGACAAGAGACAAAAGATGGAGTCAGGAGGACAAACAGTCTCGAGGGCTGCTGCGCTTTATTCAACAGGCATTTCTCTTTATATACTTTTTTAAGTGCGTGTCTAAACAAAGGGTTACAAGTTCTGTGTAAGCAACAGGATGTGGGAGTTTACAGAAATAGCACACACTCCCAGGTTCTCAGGAATGCTCCAAGGTCAAACGTCTAGACTTCCTCAAAAACATCTCCAGCTATTTTCAAAACAATTCTCTTTGATTTCATGAAGAATACTACCATTTGCAGCAACATGGATGGACTTTGAAAAAATTACATTAAGTGAAATAAGTCAGGCACAGGAAGAGAAATACTACATGTTATGACTTATTTGCGGGAGCCAAAAATAAATAAATAAATACACAAACAAAAGGGGAGAGAGGGAAGAAAACACAACAATCACAATTCCATGAACTTGTTAAGACAAGTAAACAGATATGAGGTTGATGGGTAGGAGGGGGGAGAAGGAGGGTGAGGGATGAATCGGTAAAGGGACATGAAAATCAACAACATTGTATATTTATAAGATAAAAAAATAAAAATTACAAATAAACATAAAAAAATAAGAGAAACAGAAAAGTAAAAACATGTAAATCCTAAAAACAATTCTCATAGCAACTAACATTTATTGACTCTGTTTCATGCTTGGTGTTAACTAATTGCTTTTAAGACATATTTTCTTAAAAACAGTCCAGTGAAATATACAATATTATTAATTATGTTTTGCAAATAAATAAATTAAGTGTAAAGATATTTAGTACACCAAAGGTTGTACAACTAAAGTAGCACAGGATTGAGATTAGAGTACAGGTTTCCTGTATCTCAAATGCCATGATTTTCAACACTGGATTGCTTTCTCTGCCAATAGCATCCAGTACAAATGTTATGGGATCCAAAGTAAGACTTGAATCTCTGTGAATACATGCCAGGTCTCAAAAAGTTGTGGTAGCCTTCTTAAAATATACCTACTTTATCTTGATTTCTTCATGGATAATTCATAATACAGAAGATAGAAGTTTATGTCATGATATGGAAGTCACTGTTTGAAAGTCCAAAGAAAAGCTTCAGGGATTAGGCACATTTGCAAATTCTTTACAGATTATGTAAACTTTGGAGAGCTAGAAAAGATCATGGAGGAGAATGCAAGAAACTTTGGCAGAGGTTCTTAACTTTCTTCTGCACAATGGTCCCTTAGAAATCTAATGAAAGTCAAGAACCCTTCATCACACAAATAAACACACACACGTAATTTTCCATAAACTTTCAGAGATTTCACAAATGCCATGAAGGACCTATGTGGCTCCCTTAACCAGGCAAAGAATCAAGGTAAAGAATTTATGGTTCTCTGCCTTTATACAGTTATAGAGAGTGGGATCTTAAATATTTGGTTCCTGAAAAGGGACTTCTGGTAACTATACTGATTCAAGAAACAGGCAGAAGTTTAAAAACTAGGTTTCATAAAATGGTAGAGAAAATTGAGAAGAAAGTGGCAATGAAAATCTGAAGGGAGTTGTGTCAATTTTATTGCCACTGGAAAAGTGGTGATAGATGGGAGACACATTCCTTGTTTCCCACAAACACCGGATGCAGCAACGTGCTGGAGCCAGCACACACCAGCTTGCAAGAGCCCGTGTGTGCATCTCTTTCCAGCTCTCAGTTCAATGCTGTCATATTAGTATCTTGAAGTCACTTGTAATGAAAATATCCACACCATTGGAATTGGCAACCATTACAAATAAGGACTTTTTGTTTTGTTTTGTTTATAGTTCAGGTTATCAGCACACCAGTGACTGCAGGTGTACATTATGTTTGGACTTGTTGCAAAAAAATAGAAATTAAAAGAGCAGTAAAACATATTCCTCTGTACTCAAGAAGTTTAATATCCAATGTATGAAACATCAACATAGGCAATCAATTTTAAAATAATGCACTTGAATGGACTGGGAAGATGGCGACGGGTCTGGAGCGGCCGTGCCAGGAGACAGCGCGATCCTGAGAGCTGTGCGCTGTGATACCAGAGTATTAATTGCATTGCCAAGAGCAACAAAAGGCGAATAATTCTTTCAACAACGATCCTACATCGACAAACAAGCGGCAGCAGGTTTGAGGTTTTGGGGTGGACACAGAAGAGGACTCCTGAGAGCACCCAAGCCCGGCTGCGGGAATGAACAACCAGCCCAGACAACAAAGGCCAAGAAAGCCAGCAGAAACTGCACAGAAACAGAGTGAAACGCGCTGGACCGGCCCAACTCTGCGGCCTCTGTGAGTCACCCCCAGCCCAGCCCCATTTGCGGGGTGAAGCCCGACTGCTCCCCTCCCGCCTAGCTCCTGCCTACCACACCAGGCTAGGTGCCCACAACAGAGCTGCCTCCATTTTCTCGGGTGGGGGCGGAGACGGATGGCTTAGTGAGGGCAGGCCAGCCATCTCTGTTTGGCGCGGCTCCGCACTGAGATGTGCCATTTGCTTACCTCGACGAGGGGCACCGCCGGGGCCTGTGGACCGGCCTACAATCCCACTCTCCCCGCGGATCTCAGATGGGGCTGGAAGTGTGGGGAGCCCCAGGCCAGCGTCAGGGGGGCAGGGAAGAGGAGCCCGCCCAGATCGTCTTTCCACCACACCCTGGGCGTCGGCCCCAGGTAATCTCCCTGTTTC